CTAATGTTTGAGGCCTGCTTGCACTCTCTAATGTTTGAGGCCTGCTTGCACTCTCTAATGTTTGAGGCCTGCTTGCACTCCATGATGGTACTTCTCGTTTTCATAGCTCTTCCATATGAAATTATTTTCAAATTAAAATATAATTTTGAAAATAAGGCTGATCTTGAACATTGTTAATTAATAATCCTCTGTGCTATGCACTTTTGTATTTATTTGCGCATAGTATTAAATTTTAAAGTTTTAGGATAAATATCCTAAGTTTTTCTCTAAAATAACATTTTCACCTGAAATCAATAAAGTTAGACTTACCATAATCCGTGCTTTCTGCTACAATAGCAATAGCTTTCCATTTAAACTTCAGCATGAAGGCGGTCAAAGCTGTCATCTGGAAACTGTCAGGGGGCGTCACTTTGATTAAAGAAGGGTAAGGCGGCTGCCCAGCTTGGTTGAACGACAGGGTAGGGTCTGTTGCAGTTGGGGCCAGATGAGGTACTCCAAGATTTCCTATAGGGGAGTGGGCGACTTTAATGTGGGTGGAACTACTGGGCCCTATGATCGTTACAACGTTCTGCTCCAAGAGATAACAAGCTATCGAAAAATAAGAGACAAATAGAACATCGTCTTTTGGTGGTGATTGATTCAAACCCTTTTAGCTGTATCTTTAAAGACCCTTTCATTTACTGCTAACAAAACGGCATAATAGTTTTTAACAATAAAACATTTATAAACAATCATTTTGTTAGCCCTCTGAACATCAGACAGGTATTACACGTGGGGCCGAAAAATACTTTCAATACCACCTGTCATAACCTACTTTATTACAGGGAAGCCACTGGTTTAATAAGCTAATTATGTCATAGTAACACGCGCACTAAGATATAGTGTGAGAAATTATTTTAAAAAAAACAAGTATCATATTTAAATTGATAATTAAACTAATTTTCCCAGGCGAATAAAATTTCACGAGGGTCACATTGAGACCTATAAGTTTTATTCAGGAAACGTTTGAATATGGAATAAGGTGTTTGGAAACCATGTTATGCCTAATTTATTTATTTTTTCTCACAAATTAGCATTACTTATGTTTATTCCGTTTCTCTTGCTTTTTAACAATAAGATATTTGTAATATGAATTGGTTGTATGTCGGCAATTAAAATTTTATCGGTTTTACTTTTATCCAAAAGATAATTCCAAAGCGAAATTTGTTTGTTTGTTTTGAATTTCGCGCAAAGCTACACGAGGGCTATCTGCGCTAGCCGTCCCTAATTTAG